CAGCAGTGTGGAAGTGTTCCCTTTTTGTCACATCTTCTCCAGCATCTGTTATTTTTTGAGTTATTGATGATGATCATTCTGACTGTGGTATCTCAGTGTCGTCTTAATTTGCATTTCTTTGATGACTAGTGAGGCTGAGCATTTTTTCATGTATCTGTTGACTGCTCATATGTCTTCTTTTGAGAAGTGTCTATTCATATCATTTACCACTTTGTAAGGTGACTTTTTTCTTTTCAGCACATTTGAGTTCCTTGTAAATGCTAGATGTTAGGTCTTTGTCAGATATACAGTTGGAAAATATTTTTTCCCAGTGTGTAGGATGTTTCCCCACCTCTCAATGGTTTCTTTGGCTTTGCAGAAGCTTGTAAGTTTGATGAGATCCAACTTGTCAATCCTATCTCTTATGGCATGGGCACTTGGGGTTTTGATCAGGAATTGGTTGCCAGTTCCATTTTCTATAAGGGTGTCTCTTGCGTTTTCTAAGTTTCTTGTAGTTTGAGGTTTTACATGTAGGTTTTTGATCCATTTAGAGCTGATTTTTGTACGGTGATAGGTAGGGGTCCTGTTTTAAAATTCTGCATGTGGTCAGCCTTTTTTCTCAGCACCATTTGCTGAATAGCTTCTCCTCTCCCCATTGGTTGGTGGTAGAAGAAGACGAGTTAGCTGAGAAATTGTGGTTTTGCTTCTGGAATCTCTATTCTGCTCTATTGGTCCATATACCAGTTCTTGCACCAATTTCAGGCTGTTTTGATTGTTGTAGCTTTATTATAAAGCTTAAAGTATGACAGCATGATGCCTCTCACTATGTTTTTTACTTTTGTTTTTGTTTTGTTTTCTTGCTGAGGATTGTTTTAGCTATTTGTGGTCATTTATGTTTTCATATTAATTCCTGTACTGTCATTTCCAGGTCTGAGAAGAATGTTGCTGGTAATTTGATGGGTATTGTGTTAAATCTGGAAATTGCCTCTCCTCTCTCTTGTCACGAATGTGGACTCATTCTCTGTTGTTCTCTCCCCTCTAAATTCATGCCCATCCACTGTATCCTGTGAATTCTGGCTTCATTGGCCCCATCCATGCTCCTTGCCTCCAGCGAGCACCAGGGTTCCATCATTCCCAAATTAGGCCCCTGCAGACACCTCCAACCTGACCTAGAGCCATAGTCCCCTAAGTTATCTCTGAAATCAAGAAGCAGACCATGACACCCAGCCACATGCTTAAACTTCTTATTGACAATCCATTATACTAAGTATAGAAGAGAAACTCCTCCCCAAGACTAGCAAGTCCCTGAGTGTCCAGGTTGAACTGAGCCACCTTCTCCGTGGCTCAGGCCACAGGAAACAACCCCATCAGCTTCTAGGTCTCTTATTATGATTAGTTCTTACTGCAATGATGGACAGATTATGAATTTTGTAGCATTCTCCCATGTTATCACCTTAAGAACACTCCTTCCACCACTCATCTTATCTTTCAGATAAAATCATTTTCACCAAATAGTAACAAAGTTTTGCCTCATTTCCTTCATTAAACTATGTTTCCTGGCACAATTTTAAAATCTGGTTTAGATTTCAATTGAAACAGGACTGGATTTTGAGAATCTATTTGAAAGTCACTGTCACTCTCCGAGAAGTACTCAGGCCCCATTTAGGGCTCAAATATCTGGGAGACAAAAGTCTCCAGAGACTTGGTGTTTCAGCCTCCTGGGTCCCAAATTCCTGCAGTCAACTGAATCATCTTAAAACTCAGAAGACACCATCTAATTAAATAAAAGACAACACTTACATGTCTAAAATATCCAGCCCTGTCTTGAAGAATGGGGTCACATACACTACTTCCCACCACAGCTGTTCCCAAAAGGGTGGAAAATACTGAGTGAATAGACACCCAACACCGAGCAATGATCCTATGTCCTCTTATGCCTGCACCATACACATGGCAAGGCTCCTGAATGCACCAGAGAAGGGTATCTCCAGATTCCTATGTGCATCCTTACTTGGTCAGGATCCACGAGAGACAGACAGTATCAAATGCACAGGGTACCTGTATTGTAGGACTTCCAAGCTCAGATAGACCTGGAGAGGAAATCTGGATTAGAAATGGAGCACTTCAATTACTTGGAGGCTTCTGACAAAGGACTGAGGTTCGATTTAGAGGAAATCAACCAGAAACCCTAGTTGAATCTAACAGTCCCAGTCTCTTTAGGAAAGATGACTCTTGGATGAGAAAGAAACAGGCAGGTCTGTGGGATCTGTCACTGTCTGTGAGGACCTCAACTGTTTCTGTTTTTGAGGACCTCAACTCATCTGAGAATCTTTTCAATGACCCTGTTATCTTTTTTCCTTATGTGCTCTCCAAGCAGCAAATGTGGATTTTCCTCATGCTTAGGGAGGGAGGAAGGTGGGAGGAAGGAAGCAGAAACAAAGCCCTGGGTACAATCTCCTTTCATCTCTCCACGCTTCAACTGGGAGACATTCAACCAGATGGGACTCATCCTTGGTTTATGGGAGCAAGCTGGGTCAGGCAGGAACCTGGGCGAGGGATTTGTATGAAGCCCACCCTCCACCAAAGTGCCAGAGGAAAAGTTAAAGGAGGTCCTGCACCTGATGTGAAGTCCTGAGAAAGAACATTTATGGGGGCTTCACTCCATGTCCTGGTCCACTGTCCTTTTCACGGGTCTTTGCACTGGTCAGGATGGAGTCCCTGGATCTTTGGGAGGAGAGTGAACAAGGGACTCTCTGGGAAGTCTCCCTTTCTGTGTATATTCACAGGCCTGTCTTTCACTATCATACCCTTCAGCTGCTAGTTCCAGACTGTGGTGACTCACAGGAACTCCTGTGTTCCAGTCACTCTCACGTACTCTGAGTGCAGGACCTGTCATGACTGGGAACACAATAGGACAGCTCCTGAAGAAATCTGGACAAGCTTTTATGTGACTCACACAACAGATAGACAAATGACCACATCATCTCCAGCTACTTCAGGTTCCATCTTCAGGACCCAGACACCCCAACCATTGCCAGTACAAGCTAAGCACTCTGTATCCTGTGACACCACACATTCGCTTCAGAGAAATGACTTTCTATGGGAGCTGGCCCAGGAACTCCAACAGTTCATGCAGCAGCCTTGGCACAGAGGCATACTTCCCTATCCCAGGAAAGTGCTAAAGCTCCCCTTAAGCCTGTCATGGGTATAAAGCTCTTGGAAACATTTCTGTCCCCCAGAGGCCTGTGGAAGCCCTTCACTGTTCACTCGTGTTCAGTGCAGCAGAGAGGAGGTGTGGACATGGTCTGATTGTTATTCTCCTGGTCATAAGACTTTTGTCCTGGGAAGTTAAGGAATTCTCCTTTAGAAACAACATGATGAATTTGAGCACTGGATAATACATACATGTTGGAAGAAAATTTCCAAATGCAGCCTGTGGCAGATGCTGTTGCAGTCACCGTTCATTGGGTGCCCATTCCCCAGCTAGGCAGCTCTCTCTAGGTGTGGGCCCTGGGTTCTCAGACTGCAGTCACCTCATGAGGGGTTCCTGGAAGTGGCTTCCACCATCAAGACGCAAAACCAATGAATGATCGGGGCAGAGGACATAAGCCCTTTTCACTGGCCTCTAAGTAGGACACACCTTTGGTTCTATTCAGCTCCAGAGCTCCTGTGTAGTCTAACCCCACAGGACCAGACTGGAGCCTGACTTTTCCTTTGTATCTTTCCTATCCTACTCCTCTCACCATCCTGGTTTCTTTTGAGAGCACTCTTCAATAAATCACATAGGCCAAGTACCTATCACAAGCTCTGCTTTCCTGAGATAAGAAGGCCCTGTCCTGGTCTACATGTCGACACCATCACATGCACTGTTTCTTACGTGTCCTTTACCTAGCCATGAGGGATTGACTGTTTATGAAAAGGCTACAGAGGATTCCACATGGGTTTTAATCAACTAGCCCCTAATGGTTCTCATCAGGATTTTGATATTACAAATAGCACTGCAGTGAACATCAGCATGCAGATGCCATGGGTTTACATGATATATAACCATCGGATAAATTTTTTAAAATGCTGGGTCAAAGTGTGTATCCCTGTAATTTTTTTCCATGTATATTCAGCTTCCCCTTGAGAGGGATATACCAATTCACAGCGTTAGCTGCAAGTATTTTATCAGAGTATAGTGTTGAAAATTTAGATTTTTCTCAAGTTGTTGGGTTAAAATAAACCTTGTGACAGTTTTATTTTGAATTTCACCTACTTTGCTTGAGGTTGGAAATTTTCTCAATTAATTCAGTGTACTTTTTAGTATTTGGTAAGCTTTTCTGGAATGTTCAGATAAGAAGTATTTTAAGCTTTGTGGGCAAAGAGTCAACATTCAGCATGTAGTAGTCATTTGGCATGAGCTAGTGATACACAGGGGATGGCATTTCTCCTGTGGGTAACAGGGGACACTGTGGATCTTGGTTTAGATCTAATACCTTCAAGTCCCATGGTAGTGCTTAAGTGCAGAGGGCATGACTGAGGCTTCCTTTGAGGCTTCTTCTATCAGGTCAAATCAACCCTCCGTACATGACACACAGTCAGCCCTTCTTCTGAATTTGGGAAATTGTCAACATGAGACCCTCAGACTCAGGGCTCAGACAAGAGCTCAGACAAACAGACTGAAGAATGAAGAAGAGATTTGCATTGCATTCTTACCAGGGTACCACCCAACAAGGTTACAAGAGGGAAGAATCAAGATTTGCATGAAGAGACTCTCCAGCCTATAAAAGTGGCCTGGAGGCTCACCCCAGCCATGGCTTCAGAGTTAGAAATCTGAGGTGTCTCCATCATGGCCTGGATGTCTTTTCTGCTCACCCTCCTCACTCTCTGCATAGGTGCTGTCTCCAGGAGCTCAGTGCCTGCAGAACTAAAGATTAGCCTGACTCTGACCTCCAATCCACAAGGGGGATGGTGCAGGGTGTGAGGCTCTAGGAATGAGACCTTCCTTCCTGAACCATTTCTCCTGTCCTCTCTTGCAGGTTCTGTGACCTCCTCTGAGCTGACTCAAGTGTCTGTGGTGTCTGTGGCCTTGGGACAGACAACCAGGATTACCTGCCAAGGTGATGACATAGGAATATTTGATGCACACTGGTACCAGCAGAAGTCAGGCTAGGCCCCTGTGCTGGTCACCTATGATAACAGCAACCAGCCTTCAGGGATCCCTGAGCGATTCTCTGGCTCTAAATCAGGGAACATGGCCATGCTGACCATCAGCAGGGCCCAGGCCGAGGACGAGGCTGAATATTACTGTCAGTTATTGGACAGCAGTGGTATTATCAACAGTGATGCAGACAGATGGGGAAGTGAGACACACATCCCATCTCTTTTGGTGTCATCCTCCTCCTCCAGCCCCAGAAGGACTGTGGACAAAGCCATGAGCAGGCCTATAAGCACAACACTTGGGAGGCCAATGAAGGATTGTTTGAGCCCAAGAATTTAAGACCAGCCTAGGCAACATAGTGAGACAAAATAAGAAAAATTAGTTGGGAGAGGTGGAACGTGACTGTAGTCCCACCTACTTGGGAGGCTGAGACCAAAGGATCACTTGAGCCCAGTTCAAGGCTGCGGTAAGCCATGATCATGCCACTGCACTCCATCCTTGGTGAGAGAGTGAGAACTTGACTCAACAAGAAAAAAAGGACATTCTTTTTTTATAACCAGTGTGATGGACTTGAATTTGAACACTAGCTATACATGTCAGTAGGAAATGAAGCCTGTGGCAGATGCTTTTGTAGTCACCATTCAGTGGGTGCAATGACCATGCCCTTGTTCTCAACTCACACAGATGTTTTCTCTTGCAACCAAAGCAATAACAGAAGCATGTAAGATTCCCATTTGAATAGTTTTCATCAATCATTTCATTCATTTTATATCCAAACATCTTGTAACTTTAATCCAGTTCCCTGCAGGGAGCAGGACACAGGTTCATGGAATGGGAAGTGTCTCCAGACACAGTGACAGTCTTTTTCCTTCTCTTTCAACACAGAGTGTGACAGGAGAAGGACCTTCTCATCTGAAAACTTGAACTTGACAGAAGAAGAAGGATTGTGAGCCCTCTAAGACTGTGTCCTCAGGATGAGATGTGCTGATCTGGACAGACCAGCTCTGGGTGTTTAATTGACTTACTGTGCATGAGAAAGATGTGGCCACATAGCTCTCAGGGCCAGCAGGGACAGAATAAACCTTTCCAAGAGGTGTATAAATTTCACTAAAATGCCAAGGCCTTGTTAAAACACCCCTTGGGTCTACAATGGTATCTTCCATGGGAGCTTCACATAAATGCAAGGCTTCTGTTCCCATCACCAATTCCTGCCTGATGGTTGAACCTGCTGGATTCTTGGGCTCAACCAGCAGGGACACCCATCTGTGCACATGCTGCAGACTTTCTCTGGTACCCACAGATAGTAAGCAATCTACTTTATGTCTGGTAATCGGGTTGGAACAACATCCACATGTGTGAACTACACTGCTTTCAGAAAAAGCAGTGTGATTTTGCAGCCTTCATGCTTTTTCCTTCTTTTCTCCTGATAAGTAAGGCTGTAATAACAAGTTTTTTCTTTTGCAGGAGATGCTCAACTTGCATCAAACAACAGGACCCCAAACATTTCTGCTCATATGGAGGTGAGTCTTCTTAGGATTTACTTTCCATTCTTGAAGTACATAGGTTTCACCAAATCCTACAATATATCTGCTCTTGCATGTACTTCAGATCATTGTACTACCCTATGGTGGGTTCTTCTGGGATGTTCAATTGGGTGTTCAGATGGTCCAAGTCCTGCTGGCCACATCATGACAGTGAAGAAAGGGTTAATGACACTGGAGGAATTAAAATTTAAACATATATTGTTGTCCTTTTCATGTGAATGCACACCGTTTCTGATCCTGTTGTCTGAGAGGAACAGAGAAGGACTCAGTTTCTGAATCAGTGGTGCATTCTGTGCACCTGCAGCTATGGTGTACTGTTGTATAACAGCATATTCCACATCTGGCAAAGACTTTTCAAATGGAACCATGAGCTGACTAGATCTGTGGAAATATAAAATATAAGTCCTCCTTCAGGACCCCACTCCTAGAAATAGTTGGAAATAAAATCCTACTACAGTCTCAAAATCTTTATGTCATTGAAGGTGCCACTAGTACATGTCATTCCCGAACAAAGATGAAATATTATTATTTATTCCCTTGAATGAAGTGAAGATGGGGAAACACTCAGGGTATATCATATGCATAACGGCCAGATTATAAATGTTTTAGTGTTTGCCAGTCACATGGTTTCTTTGGCAACTACTTCATTCTGCAAATGTCACATGGAGGTAGCTTAAGTAAAAGGGCATTTCTGAATGCTAGTAAAACTTTATCTACAAAAAAAGTAGTAGCCATAGTGACTGACTCTGGCTTTTTCAATTGTCATGTTTTTACAGGGACTTTCCTTTAAGGACACTTCTTGATATAAGAAGTTCTAGGTTATAAAATTGTCTCAGATCTGTACACCGGAGAAGAGTTTGGTGTTGTCATTGGGCCACTGCCTTTGGCCATCTTGATTACTTTTGACTGATTAGATTAAACAGGGATCCTACTGGCTGCCCTTCTACTAACCTAAGTGATGCCAAGTTCTAGGAACAATCCTCATAGCTCTACAGGTCAGACTCCATGGAGGACACACTGAGCTTGGACGCTTTGTGGGAGATTCTATGGACTCCATCCCCACTTCTAGCATTCCTAGTGAGAGCACTCCAGTCCTTCTGGGTCTACCTGAGTATCTGCCTGAAACCCAAAACTCCTGTCACCTCAGATTCTATGTAGAATATAGCCCCTCCTGATATTTCATCAAAACCACAGAAGATGTGCTGATGCCACCTTGGGCCCAACCCAGGGACATTCCAGTTCCTGTCCTCACACTGTCCCAAAAGTCTGCTTATCTGCAACAGCCAAATCTTACCTGACTGGGTGTGACTCAGTCTCCTGTTGAACAAGGAGTGAAACTCTGGATTCTGGACTGCTTTCTGTTGAGCTCACCAGGAAACCCTCTTTACTAAGTCCATGATGTGCTCCTCCAGGACATACCACTTCACAGTCTCTAGGGGGGCTAGAATAAAAAAGTCAGAGAACCACAGGTATGGATGATGATGGGGATAATAGGACCTTCATATACCATTCATGAGAATGTACAATGAGACAGTTACTTTGGAAAACAGTCTGGCAATTCCTTTAATGATTAACCTATCCACAGTAATTCCACTCCAAATTGTTTGCACAAGATAATTGAAAAAATATGTCTGTACAGAAATTGTTCCTGAATGTTTAGTGCAGCTTTACTCCTAATAGCCCCAAGCTAAAAAGAACCCCAAGCATCCATCAGTGGGTGGCTGGGTGAACAAATTCAGCATATGTGTACCTTAGAATATTTTTCAGCCATAAAAAGAATGAAGTTCCCATACATGTTACAGTGAGGATGAACCTTGCCAGCATTGTGTTAAGTGAACTAACTAATGCAGTCACCAGACCCACATAGTATGAGACTAAGTTAATAGAAAAGTCCAGAACAGAGAAATCTCTAGCATTTGTTTAGGCTGGTGGTGGGATGCATGAATGCAAGGATGGAGGGTGTTAGCGACAGGGTCCTTGGTTTCCCTTTGAAGTGATGAAAGGTTCTAAATCAGAATGTGGTTACACTGTACACACATGAAATACACTGAAAACCACTGGGTTGTCTGCTTTCAATTGGTGCATGGCCATTGGAATCCATCTCAATCAAGCTAATTTTAAAAAGAAAAAAGAAAATGTGTACGTATTCTACATCTGACACAGAATTCAACACTAATACAGCACAGAACAAGTTCTTCATCATAGAGACACATGCTATTCTTTACTTTTTATTCAGAATAACACTTATAATGCAAAAATATTGGCCTATAAAAGAGATCAAGACACCAATACAGGGGTATGATTGCATGTGAATGCTAAGAATGGGTTTCAAAGCCCTGAGTAAAATTGAATCAAAGGCTGTATTCTTCATAGAACTATGGCATATGGCTTTAGAAACTTTACTTTTAGATCACTTGGACAATATGAAAATGTTGAGGGTGAAATTAAAAACAATAATAAAAAACCAGGGCTCCTTCAACTTGCTCAAAGTTGATATTCAGTTCATGGTAATGTGGAACATGCAGAAAAGTTAAAAGAAAATTTAAATTAAAAAAATACACAGACACATAATATATTCTCTGCTCAAAAGCACTGACAATTATATAATTAGATGTCCAATTACTTACTATGCTAACAAACCATGAACTTTGGATAAATGTTATTCCATGTCCTGGATCCCTACTACCTAAACAATAATTCTGTTGTTTTTCATGTTTTTGTGAATAAATTACTTCAGGGTTGAAAAATCATGCAAGCGTCAGTTTCAGTGGCTCAACCTGTAATCCCAGCACTTTGGTAGGTGGAGGCGAGAGGATTGCCTAAGCTCAGGAGTTCCTGACCAGCCTAAGCAACATGGCGAGACCTGTCTCTACAATAAATCAAAATGTTAGATGGATGTGGTGGCACATGCCTGTAGTCCCAGCTATTTGGAAGGCTGAGGCTGAAGAATTGCCTGAGCCCAGCAAATTGAGGCTGCCATAACCATGATTGCCACTGCACTCCTCTCTGGGCCAGAGTGAGACAAGAATTAAAAAAAAAAAAAGGAAAAAAACTCACAAAATAACCCCAAATTAGACAAAACCAAAACAACAACAGCAAAACATGAAAAGGTCACTCTGGTTGCTTCTAATCAAGCCTTTTGTTTTCTGGGTTTTCTGATCAGCTCGACATGGTGCAGGGAGCTGCACAGGGCATGTACTTGAATATTAAAAAACAGCTTTGTTCCCAAGAGCTAAAATGGTGGAATAAACTCATTAATGGATGGTCTTACTCCCAGAACCTAACCTGCCCAAGCCGAGAGCTGCAGCTCCCCCTACAGGCACCTGGAAGAACCGGCAGGGAAAAGCTTCTCCATCACAACCCAAAAAATTTTAATGAGGATTTTCTCATATGCCCTCCCCTAGTCTAGGTTTACCCCAGTGAACTTGGAAGAGGTTAGTCTTATGCTTTTATCTCTTACTCCACAGT